AACAACTTTCAAAGTGATCCCTTTTGCATTACCATATTTGCCACTTGTGACCTTTTCACCTGCGCTTTTTCCCCTCGGACGCATTTCTTGGCAGCTGCCACGCCCCCTCGCAATCCGGCGCCGCCTCTTCTTAACATATTTGTGCAGCACAAACAGTTAAGCGGCTTATATCATTGAGGAAAAGGGGTTAAACCGCAGGCGTCAAGTGGAGGGATTGGGACTGGGATTCAGATTAAGATTCGGATTGGTTTGGTTTGGTTTGGTTTGGTCTGTCTGCTGCGGTTGGGTCGCCGGATTTTCGGTTTTCGGTTTTTGGCTTTCGGCTAGCTATGGTCAACATCAACACGGGGGAAATTGGGACTCAATCCCTATATAGATAAAAAAAAAATGCTCACATTGTTAATATCAATGCGATAAGTCAGTAATAATATCATAAAGATATGCCAGTTACACTTTAATCTCTTGTCATTTCTGTTTCTCAGGGTTAATAACCTTCTAAATCGAAAGAAAAAAAAAGTGGAAGTCGATTCGAAATGCCGTCACTAATCAATTTTTTTTATGTGTAATAGAACTAATACATTTTTATTAGTTTTACAATACAATATACCCAAAAATATAGTTTTGACATTTGCCTGATATTTAAAATATTAATAAAAGTCCCAAAATTAATCATACAATCATGTTTTGTTTTCCCTGTGTAGACAGGCTTTTAACATTAATTTTGTCATTTTTTTTTTTTTTTTGTGACATGCAAAAGAAGGCTATGCTTATTTGCTCTGCTTATGAAAAATTAGCATTTGGACACTTTTGTCAACGATTTTCGTCGGAGTTAAATCAGCTGGGACTCGGGATTTAATGGATTGAGACTTGTACTTCTGGCAGATTTCTGCGATTTGTGATACGAGATTTTTGGGGATTTGTTAATTCTGGCCGTGATAAATCGCCTTGGCGATGTGGGTTTGCAGTGGTCATTTGTTTGCCACGCCCCCGGAAAAACTGGTTTCCACACAGGGGTAGAGGAGTGAGGTACATATATATAGGCATCCATCAGGTTGGGTTTCCGTTTCTCGAACTGGTTCTCTTTGTGGGCTCCCTAAAAACTGGCAGAGAAAACCTGAAGCCGATTGACTGGCTGCCTGGCTGCCCACTCGTGAAAAGCCCACTGGAACCGTTCTAATTTCAGGTCAATTGGGCGGGGGACAAACTCTAGACTGTATTTATTATAAGCAACCGAAAGGCAATAAGCCAACAAATTTGAGTCTGTGCCATAACATTTACATCATGAGTGGGGAAACGCCTTGGTTTTTCCCAGATTCCTTCAAGCAAATCGCTTACACGTCCAGCACGACAAGATACAATATCATAGATATACTTTTATTTATTTATATATATATATTTTTTTTTTGTTCCAAGCCAAGCCAAAGCGAAAAGCGACAGCAAATAAGGGAATATTAGCCTGGTATGGAGACTTTGCCGAACCTTTTTCAAGAAAATTTATAACAATTTCCTTTTTGATTTGCATGGACACGCCCACCGACAACCGCCCAACGCCCAACCGCTTTTCTCCCCCAAAATTTGCACTATTGAATAATTTCTTTGCTTTTGTTGCGTCTGCCGTAAACGATTACGAAGGCCATAATAAATAAATGCTTGGCAATGAGGAGCAAACAACAAGGGAAAATCAACACACCCAAAAAAAGTGCCTGCAAAGTCAAGGCCAACGAATTATTATTGAAAATGCAAATGAAAAATGCTTGAAAATGTTTGGGTTGCGTTGAGTCCACATATACAAGCGGGTGGGGACCCTTGGGCAAGGTCGTTTTCCCATTTTTCCCCGCCTTTCCCCCAAGCGACCCTCATAACAAAAGGACTAAAGATAAACAGCCTGCCATTGCGTTTAATTTTTTTTTTCGTTGATTTTCCGACCGGAAAACTGTGTTTTTTGACCCTCGCTCACGAAAAATTCGTAGGGGTGCGTGTATGTAATTGCATAAGTAAACCCTGGGATCTACTGATTCACTGCCATCGTTTATTGAGTTCCACGAAAGCAAAATTGGCCATTATATAGAAGCTAATATTGATTGATTTAGATGCCAAAAGATTTGCTTTCAGAAATATTTTATAGTGGAGAGAAATTTATTAGAACTTAGGATTTATAATTAATAAAAAAAATCGAAGCCTGCCTAAAAACTAAAAATTACTTTATACTTATACTTACTTTATATTTATTCCTGTTTGCAGTAATCATTTTAAATTTTAGAAAACATTTTTTAATTAAAAAAAAAAAAAAATGTAATCTTATCTATGTGCGTACATATTTAATTATAAACCAATTTAAAATAAATCATTTTAGGATATATTGAAATATTTCCTTTTATTCCTTTTATATTGTTATTTTAGTACAACACCCCCTTGTTTTCTTGTAATTAAGCCGTCGAACTCACATGGTTTCAATTCGTTTGCTCCGCAATCCAATGTCATTTGCCTCCTTTGACGGCAATTGCAGTTTCAATTGCCATAGCCTCCACCCCTTGCGACCACCCCTTTTCAATTTTGAGAGACTCATCATTAATTAAACACTTAATTAAAACTGCAGCCGTCGAGCAAATGCAGCGAACCATGGAAAAAACGGGGGTAGCGCAAATTGATTAGATGTCATCGCTTTCAACCGTTTTCCAAATAATCGACAAAACTGAAAATACATTTTCAAATGCCAACCGCAAAACCAACAACAGCAACAAAGCGGGCAATTCAAACGAACATTTAATGCTCGATAATCGCGTTAATAAGCATTCGAAATTAACGCAAAACTTTCATTTTTTATCGCCATATTTTCGATATGCCCTCGGGAGCGGACTGAATTTTCGGGGTATTTCGGTGCTATGGATATGAAATGTTTAATAACAATGAGTGAGTTCCATGAGATAATGAGTTCAATTGCACGAAATGGTATTAAATAAAGAATATCGACGAATGAAATGGAATGGAACTGATTGGAAGTGGGCAGTATATACAAAAATGAATTAAAGCGATTTAAAATGTTCACGATTTGTAATGGCTGGTAAATAAAGACCAATGAATTTTAAGACTTGAAACTTTTTAGACGTGATTTGAATTATTTAAGAAATGGTATTTTAAACAGTGGTTTTTTTTTTTATTATTATTTTTGATATCTTAATTAAGTTTAATTTTAAAAATCTCTCAATGATATCCGTCAACAGGATTAAAAAAAGAAATAATAAATTGTGTCAATTTAAAAAAGAAAATGTTTTTTCACCAAATTTAAAAATTATTGTTCATATATTTTGAAAAAAAAAAAAAATTCTTTTAAGTATTGAAGAGAAGGGCGCCTGTTCCTTTAACCGAGAAACAAGATTCAATTTCACATGCCCCAGAATTAAATTTCCCTGCTCGAAGCGTTCCAAATTTGTGGTCTCCCTGGGCGCTGGACTAGTGCTGCCAGCTGTGAAAGTACACAATTTAACCCACTAACGCCCACCTCGCTATGGAAATTTTGAATTAATTTTCAGCTGCATTAGAAACACAAAAAGAAATATAAGCAATCGCAGGGGATAAAAGAAGAAAAACAAAAACTGCACAAAACAAAAAAAGCAAAATGCAATTTTCACTTTTTTAAAAATAATAAACAAAAAAACCGTGACTTACTTGACTGAATGGCTGACTGACTGAATGACTGAATGACTGACTTGGCCAACTTATACATATGCAAACATTGCGCATACGACGCGTGCGGCAAAAGTAAAATGAAAGGCTCTCCCCAGTGTGTTTGTGTGTGTGAAAATTGTGAAAAGCGTATTTGGAGCAGAAAATGTAATGTCTGCCCACTCCCCACTTCTTCACTATATATTTTACTTATATTTTTTATTTATTTTTTGGGCCGCGAATTCGTTATGCGCTTGAGATTGTTGATTTTTCTCCATTCTCATATTAATATATTTTCCTTTTGCACCAAGATTCGAACCGTCAGACAGTAGAACCTTCTGATAAGATTCGTAATCGTAAATGGGCAGGAGATAAGATTGCAGACTGGTCTGTCTTAGCCCAAAATTCAGAAGTAAATTCGTGGGAACCTCTCCTACCCAGCGATTAAAATTAACGAGCTGTATTTGCGCATATTACTTTCGGTTATTTGCATGCCAGATATACTTGCTATAATATAGTATAGTATATCTGCATAAGTTCCTAGTTCCTATAGCCTTGTGGAAAAATCCAAAGTGCCGCACACAAAAACAGATAAGTAAATTAGCTTTAGACACCTTATCTTATCTATATCTTCCTGTTCGGCTTCCTGATAAGTAGTGCAAGTTGCTACATCGTAAACGGTGCTTATAAAGGTACTAAAAGTCTTATCGGCAAGCGCAAGTGTTTTCCGCTTAATTTTTTGGGGTTATTACCAGTTTAAAAAAAGAAATGTGTAAAAATGGATGGATTGATTATCGTAAATGTTATACGTTCTAGTTTTGTTTACAATTGAGATTTAAAATATTGAGATTAAAAATATTTTGTCTAATTAGATGTATTTATATATTATATTTATTAGATATATATTGAATTCTAAGAAAACCAAGTGCGGTTTATTATACTTATTGATAAGCATTGGTAAATTGTTTTAAACCTTTGTTGTTCTCTGTTTAATGCTGAAATATGGATGAAGTACAAGCATTTCAAATTGTGATATCTAGCTTCTTTTACCAGTTTCTATATAAACTTAATTATTATTAATTTACCAACAGAGTAATTAACCTAAATGCCCTTTGACTTACTGATATTGCGTTTATAGTGAAAAGATTTTCGTCGCAGCAATTATCAGCTTTAAATCAGAAACTGGTTAGTGTAATATGATCGATTAATGGGGCAACATTGATTCATCGGCTTGAATAGTAGCGACCTTTTTACGATGAATGGATTAATGTATGATAATTGAGCTCAACCGGCATTAATTGTTTGTTTCTCTCGCTGTTTGTTTGTTTGCATTTCAGATCGTCGTCAGTGGAAGAATCGACAATATAATCGACGTCATATCAAGCAGCAAAATCAGCATTAACGGCAACGGACCTCGCTAATTGCAAGTAAGCCATCAACTATAATTTCTAAATCTATATATACACATTGTTGTTACACATTATGGAGAAGGGGGTGGGGGAGGGGGAGGGTGGTGGAGGGTCGAGTGGAAAGCTCTCCCCAGAAAACAACACTCGATGTAAATCGCATAACACGACATCCGTAGGCGATGGCGACAGCTTGCTTGACTAGCTCAAAGTCCGGCAAAAACAAAAACACCCATTGCTATGTACATATATATACGTATATATATATCTGCACCGAAAAAAAAAAAGAATAGGTGACTGAAATCTTTTAACGAAAGCTAGAGTAGCTCACAAGAACCAAACAATTAAACTCACATTACTCTTTTTGAGTTTTCGCGATAATACTTTAGCTAAAAATATACCAACATATTTATAACAAAATTGTAATGCCAAAAATAAAATGAAAAAAAATTATACAAATTTTCCAAACACACCCAAAGCCTTATAAATTCTTAAGAAACCGCTGTCGAACCCATTTTTCCATCTCTTATTTTTATTTACTGGTCAATGGCAAATTGCTTGATATATCTTGCAGTGCATTGGCACACCAACAATAACTAGTCTTAGTTGTCAGATCGCGTGCCAAGAAATAATAATGAAGAAAAATCGTGTTACTTAGGCCTGGGCCAAGTTAACAAAAACAACAAAAACAGCAGCAGCAACCTCAACACTTTATGCCTAATAATCATAGCCGCAATTGCAGCTCCCTTACACTCGATGCTGCTTTTCCCCCTTTTCCCGCTTTTCCCCTCTTTTCCAGTTTTCCCCGCCCATTTTTTTTCCAGCCAGCTTTTTCCCGCCGTCATTAGCATTTTGTGTCATGCGCCTGCGTGCCATCTAATTAGCGTGAAACCTCAAACTTCAATCAAGAAAAGGGGGAGAACTGGAAGAATGGTAGAGGGGATAATAACCAGACTTATGGATGATGTTTGGTCTGCTTTACGAGACCAATGACCATAAAAATCCTTGGTGATAATTGAATGGTGGAGCATTAAAGTGGATGGAAGTGGTAAAACGGATTCGAAGAGAAGAAACCTACGAGAACTTTAATGTTTAAAGAATTCATTTCCTAACATCCATTCAAAATAATTTAAATTTAAAAATAAATATCACAGAAAATTGCTTTCAAAAATTTATGTTCGTTTTAAAAACGTGCAAAGTATGTGAATATTAATATGGTATTTTAATCTATTCCCTTTGTTTTTAAGTTACTCTTTGATTAATTTTAAATGATTGTCATCTTTTGAGTATATGAAAAGTAGTATAGTTAAAGGTAAGATGTGTTACCGCTCCCTGCCATTTAATGCCTTCGAATTCAGCAGGCCTCATTGAACCATTATGGAATTTGTGGGTAAAACCACAGCGCATTTCTGTGCAAATCCCCATTCAGAATCCCCTCGTCTTTAGCTCTTCCCGTAACCGAATCGCTTAATCCCCTCTAAAGTTTAAGGATGGCAAAGTATCTGTTGTGGGGGGGTATCACCATCACCATCATATACCTCTGTGCATCACAGCTTATTTGCGGGAGCCTATGCCACTTTAAGCCCCCTTCTCTATGATGCGTCCCCGGAAAAAGTGAGCTAATCAGGGAAGCCAGGAAAACCAAAACCCTTGACTCACGATCCTTAAACTATTTCCCATTTTCCATTTTCCTGCCACCTGGAAAAGCCATTCAAAAGCCCCCAAAAACAAGGGTGGGCTGTGCGAATCCGAATCCAGGGGTGAAGTGGTAAAAAGGGGGATAATTGCGGCCGCAGACAACATGCTAATTAAAAGCTACTTTGCCAGCCGCATTAATATACACAAAAGCACCGCAAAAATCATGCGTCCTTGTTGGTTTAAAAGAGGGAACTACCATCGCCCAATTCGGTGGGATATATCCCTGAATGACAACAATTTGCATTTGTTGCGTTGCGAAAATGCTGCAAAGTACACTGAAATTACGTTAAATTTGATAAATAATTGATGCCTTGAAAATTGAGAAAATTTAATAATTTATAATTTTTGAGAATATGAATTTGATATAATAATTTTGATATATAAATAAAATAAATAATATATTTTGTAAAAATATTAATTGTAAAATATAAAATATTTATTTAAAAGAATAATTTTTTTTAATACAAATTAATCAACGTTGTTTGTAAATAAATTGAGTGGTCACTGTATTGATATATTTACATTATTAAAAATAAACAAGTACATTGTAAAATATGTATTGTATACTACAAAAAATAAACTTACGAATATTGTTTGCATTATTATTAATATGAAAGTAAATAGTTGTAAAATCAATATATTTGGATATATTTACATTATTTACATTAAACCAATGAACCCTTAGGATATCACATTGATACCACGCTGCTGCTTTTCTATTTGTGTACAAACTGTTATTCATCAGGGGAACCTTCTTATAGAGGAAATAAATGGAAACGGACGAGAGGGGATGGTGGGGTTTAGAAAAAGGCAGGCAGCGGGGGGGCTGAGTTTTCCAGAGAAGAGTGTGTTGTGTTTGGGAGCAAATGCAAAAAGGGGATCTTGTTCCGCCTGTTCGTGGCGTCATTAAAAATTGTCTTGATGGGTTTTGTGGCTTTGATATCAATGCGTAGCCTGTTTTTCCCCCCTTACTTCACATCATTGTAGTATCTGTTTGTCCTTCAGGAAACGACAACTGTTTGGGTTGAAAAAACAGAAGGGAGGGGGTGTGGCCTCAGGAAAAGCCGGTTAATTGATGGATTTGCAATGGAGAATACAGCTTTTGCCAAGCCAAATTCACATTCTCAAAACGGCATGAAGGGAGAATATATGTTGTGAATCCAATTTAAGTTAAAATTAGTCTAAGGAAACATTTTTGAAATTTGCCTGTATATGAAGGCAACTTTTTGCCCTTTTTCAACTGTCACCAAAATACTTGAATAAAAATAAAAATTTTGTTACTCCTGACTTGCCGCGAATGAAAGAGAAATACCGACGATATCTGTTAAAGAACTTGAAATAGGGCAATTTCGAGTGGAAACTTTTCGTTTGTTTTGACTGCACAAAACGGATATATATAAACAAACAGGCGGCAGGGGGGGGTCTGGTTCTAAAAGATCGGGCTTTACCAAATAAAAAAGTTGCAACTGCAAGAGCTCGGGAGAAGTTTTCATTCCGCTAAAAAAGATTCCCAACATTTTCAGTTGGCACCATGCACTTTTCGGAACTAATACTGTGCCATAGCATAGCATTCTTTGTCCAAAGTTGTAGCGCCAAAAACGGGGACGTTTTTGTTCTTCTTTTTGGGTTCGCTGTCGAATTTATGCTGGACGCAAATTTATGACTGTCAAAAAGTAAAGTAAAGTGCGGCCAAACCAAACTTGAGCTGCACAAGTGTTAAGTCACCACTGGGTGACGACAAAAGGGGGGCAGTGGGTGTTAGTGTTGTATCTCTTCCTTAACTGCACTTTGCCGACAAGAATGTTAAGCTTTTGACACTCTCTGCGCGAAGCTGCGCAAAAAAAAAAAAAAAAAAAAAAACACATTTTTGCATAATTTATGGCCCACAAAGAGTTATAAAGAGGGTTGGTGGTGGTAATGTCCTTCAGCTAATAAGCCCGGACCATTTGCTCATTTGAGAGGGGCCAAAAAATTCAAAAAGAGCTAAGGTCTATGAAACAGCACCTCTTTTGTATTTTCATATTTTTAATAATTATTTTTTAACTTAAACATCGGTCGACTATATTATCTAGCTTCTAAGGGAAAACTACAAAAATTACTGAAAAAAATCAATCCAATTTCTCGAGATCTAGATATACATTTAAAAAAATTTACTATATCGTGTAGTTTAATGTAGTTTAACGGGAAAATCATAATAACTTTACAGTTTTCAATGAAACTGTCAAAGTCGTTAAATAGAACATAACATTTTTGTTAGCTGCAAAAGTTCTTGTTTCTAATTTATTTCTTATAAATAATATTTTAATAATAAAATGTTACTTAGTTTCCACTTTCAATTTAGATTTTTAAATCGCCTGGAACATAAGCAACCGCAGAAAATCAAAGGAAAAAAAAAAAACTCCAGGCAAACGGGTGCAGTCAACTGAATGTCGATTTCAGACATTCCCATGCCTTTTTTCCCCCTTTTTAGCGTTGCACGTGCATCATTTATTCAACGCAATTGCCAACTCTTCATTCTCCGTTGTTGTTATACTATATTGCTGCTGTTCTTGTCGTTGGTTTTGTTGTTGCTGGCGACTCCTTAGTACGCCGCTTCCTTAATACGTTTAAAAATAAGCACACAAGTCGCTTTCTTTCAACGTCGCCACTTCAGCGTTCAATGTTCCCAGTTGAAGTTGCTGCCGGGATGTTGCTGTTGCTGTTGCTATGTTGCATTCGAGTGTTGCTGCTTTGTGGCATTGACTGCTTAAGTAATTGAAGCAAATCAGGATTTTGAGGAGTGTGTCTACACAGCGAAAAAAACAGGTTATTTACTTATACTTTAATACTGTCAAACTTTCAGTTTTTTTTTTGGGTGTAGTAATGTTGAAAAGCTAACAGCTTTGTGATCGACTTAAAACAGTTTTTAATTCCACCTTTTGGCTATTATTATTAATACATTTGTATTGCTAAGTGGTTGGGTCAAGTCTTTGCTGATTTATTCAGTTTATATTATGTATTTAGCAGCACTAAGGAAACAATGTGCAGCAGATGCGTCTTTGTGTGTCATTTCGCCAGCGAAATTGAAAAAGGATTTCGTGTTCCTTCGTTTTATTTTTCCCATTTGCCACATTTTTGCAAAAAGGAAAAATACTCTTATCCCTCGTTTCTTTGGCCAAACGTATGTCGGTGCAAAGGAACGCATTTCTGCCAAAGAAACCAGCTCTTCTCGATATCATTGTTAACACTTTGATGCCCAAAAGGGAAAAGTAGGAGGAAGCCAGCCGCACAATCAATGCGATTTACTGTTGCAAATGTGCAACTTTCAGCTACGAAAGGCGCTTAAGTCACATTGTTGCATTCAGAAATTGATTGGCTCTGAAGGCGAAGCAATGGAGATAAAGCAGATCCAATAGAGAAATGGCCAAGTTGGAGATGGGAATCATCGTTGTGATATCAAATCAAATTACCCAGGCAAGAACCGGCCAAAGTACTTGGAAAGTCTTTAACTTTAGCTTTTGTCTACTTCTAAAGGGATTCCGCTTTGCATTTGCAACGCGAATGCAAATTCTAATTAAGTAAACGACGCTCTCTTTTGCACCTTTCGCCTTTCACCGTCTTTTGGGTAAGAAGAATCTCAATCTCAATCGCAATCTCAATCTCGAGTTCAAGGACACCGGGTAAAAGGACAAACAACGCGCCAGTCGTGTCGAGTTGCCACTGTTGACTTGATTATAATGATAAAATCTAATTAAACAAGTTCAACTTGAGATGTCAACTTAATTTACAAATGCCACCGTGACCCTTAACCCGTTGGGAGATCCTGTGTAGCTATGACCCAGCTCTCATCCCTTTTAAACTTGCCCTGGCTGTCTGTCAGCAGCACAAACATCCTAATTACCAACTTTTTGCCAAGACTTTGCCTCTCCATCAATGGCCAAGAAAAGTGGCAGCAGAATGGGGGCGGAATGTGGGCCATGGATCGTTCGTTGGGTCAGTGGAGCGCTCCACTTTACATGTTTCGATGTCATCGCCGTCGTCGTCTTCGTAGTCGTCGACTAATTACGTTTTGTGCCCATCGACAGGCGTCACCTAATGACCCAAAGCTGCCTACAAAATAAACTGAGTGGGAGGGGGCGGAAAAGTGGCGGGGTGATTCGGAAAATGCGTGCAAAAGAGAGAGTTTCGACCCGTTCCCGTTTTATTCCTGCCCATCAGTAACGCACTTTTTGTGCGGCTTAAAGTACATTTCTAATGACCTTCATTACATTGAGTGGGCTCCCCCTGTCGGTCTTTGGGTCAAACCGAAAAAGGGCGCGGGATTTCTAACGCATGAACGCCTTTTGCTTCAATAGCAAAAGAAGGGGAAAGTGAAAACAAGAAGTATGTTTTCGCGAGATATACTATGTCTATGCCACGAATTTCATGAATTCTAAAATACAAGAAATCAAAATAGCTTCTGATTATGCGTTGCAGACGAAAACATGAAATAGTATTAGCAGAGATACCAGACGTGTAATATTAAGATTTATTATTTGAACTTTTAAAAGCAAACTCGAAAACCAATTAACAACACAAAGCTGAGTGAAGACAAAAATAATAAGTAAAGCTTTAATGGGCGAAAAGAATGTAAATTCAATTGTTTACTCTTACGTCCGGTGTGCCACCTCATGTATAGCGAGTTAAGTTGATTGCATCTCACCATTTCATGTATTTGGTCATATGTAATTAAGTAAGTTAATCCAAATATTTGTTTTAAATGGAATCTCGCATACCACTGAAAATAGAAATAATAATCTTCAAGAAATATTTCTTTGTATCCTTCGTTTCTAAATTCTATTTTACCTATTATCATTTTTCTCGTTGCAGTGTGTCATAATGTCATATTAAAGCTGAATTCGAGCTTACAATACTAGGTCAAAACTGTAAGTGCCTTATTAGGTTTGACTGCCATCTTTGTCGGTTTGTGCTTCTAGTTCTAGCCACCCTCGTATTATCCTCGTTCTCTCCTTCTTCTGATAGCTGTTTCACTGCCTTTGTGTGTGGTATTGGTCGGACGTTTTTCCTACTTCGCCTAATAGCTTTGAAATGAGTTTGGCTTTTTTCCGTTTGCAGTTTGTTTGTTTGTTGTTTGTTGGAGCATTCGACTCATAATGCAGGCGATGGTCAAAGTTCATTAAATGGAGACCGATTGGGAACGTAACGGCTATTTGAATACCTCTTATTTAGTAAAACACAATGTAACTTTGATACAATTTGTAAGATAATTATAATGATGAAAGAGATATTTTTTTAAGTATTATAATAGTGGTACAAAGTTTGTTTTTTTTTTTAACCAAAACAAAAACCATTAAATATGGAACACTTTGAACACTCGATTTATTTTATGAAGCTTTACATTGACTTTTATTCATTTTGAAAATGTGTATACCCCTGCAAACCCTTTGCAACGGGGTATCTAAAACTTATTCTTGCTCTAACTTGGCCGCAGACAACATTAGCGGTTGTCCATGCTCCAAATAAGTGAGCCAACCAACCAACCGCCTTGCCATCCTTTTTTAACCACCATTTTTGAACATATGGTGGACAAGTTTTGCGCATTGGCAATCAAAGTAGTGCGGCGGCGGCCGACGACGACGACTACTCTTTGATTTCTGTTTCAATTGGTTGGCAATGCAAATGCCAAATCCCATTGCCCATACGCCCAGTTGTCCGCATTTCAGCCCACTCTTTCAGTCCACTTTTCGTGGTCGTTTGAAGTTTTTATCCTTATTTATCTTCATAAAATATTCATGCACTTTGCTCTCCAACTCAGTTGCCCATATATGTATGTGTGTGTGTGTGTGGTGTGCTGTGGTGTGCTGTGGTGTGTTGTGTGTCCTTTTTCTCTTGGCAAGTGGAAGTAAAAGCCACTTGAACCAAGGGATTGAGCTGAGCACTCAGCACTCGGCACTCAGGTGCCGCCAGGTCCAGTCCGGAATTCAGTATCCAGGATCCAGGATTCCGGAACTCTCACCTTCACCTCTCCGCACATTCAACTCCTGCTTTTCAATTAAAAATGGTTTTTCACTACATTTGAGTTGATTGATTTTTAATTGATTTCAATTGAGCAAGACTCCTCATCCTTTCCATGACCAAAGAGTTTTTCGTTTTCCGTGCACCGAAGAGTTGAAAGAAAGTGCCCCGGAGTGGAGGTGGAACAGAAGGCGAACAGAAGCTTTTAAGACGCCCCCCAGAGGACAAGGAAATATGAAGAGCCAGACACGGACTCTGGGAATTTTTCGCATTACTTTGCATACCCTATCGATGGGTGAAAAATAGGGGTAAAAACGTTTTTACATTGGATGAAAAATCCTACGATTTTGACTTATTGGAATATGAATATTTCTGAGAGAAAATGAAAAACAAAATCCTAGTATCAAAAACTTGAATTTCCAAGATATTTAAACCGCTCTATTATTAGTTGCTATTTTTAAATGTAAGCTATAATTAAAAATATAAACAAATAATTGTTATGAATTCAGTAGGTACTTAAAAGAAAATATTTGTATATTATACTTTAAAGGGTGTTCAAGAGTTCGTTTTTGTACTCAAAGCTTTTTGTCTACCGCATTGCTTATTTATTATTGACAAGCCGCTCTGTAAAACCCCTTGAAAACCCCCTTAAAAACCCCTCCGTATAACCATTTTTGGGTGGAGCACCCACAGGATGCAAATTGCATGAGCGGTGTCTGCGGCTTTTGTGGCTCTGCTCATAAATTCTTAACGAGGATTTTTGGTATTTGAATAAAAAACGAGGGCCAGCGCCAGACAACCAAATGGCAAGTGCTGTCTCGAAATGAAATTTCAAATTACAAACTAAAGTGGACTGTTGTTAAGTGAATTTTAATTTGCCATTAACACATGCGGGGGGCAAAATTATCAGCACCGGATGCGTTCTGAAACAAAAAAAAAAAGCAAAGGGTTGAAAAAGGCGAAACAAAACTTGCGACAAAGTTTGTACCGAAAAACAAAACGGGGGGTACATGTAACAGCCTGCCTTTTCCAGCCACAACAACAACAACAAATAAGTTTAAAAAAGATGTATATAAAACAACACGGAAGATAGGGGACAAACAACCCTTCTTTTGTCATGATATATTAGCAACAAGCTGGGAAAAATTGAAGTTGGACAAAGCAAGGGATTTCTGGCGGATACAGATTAGGTTTTTTGTGGAAGTTTTAACGGCAATTAGAGGATTTCAGGTCTTACATTCAGGCTTTTTATTTTAAACATTTTGTAAAAATTAAACATTATAAATATATTTATTATTAAATTATTGATATAAATTCCCATGGAAGTCAACGGTTAAGAAAGTTAGAGGTTTGATCTAAGAAAAAAATATTAGTGAGTTTTTGAAATTTATGAAGTAATGATTCATTTTATTTATGACTAACTAAACTCAGGTATTTAGAACACATGAGAAATCAATTATAAAGCATTATTATTTAATAAAAACATGGAGTTTCATATACTATATTAGTGTTTTAAAAATTAAGTTATCAGTGATACTGAAATGCATTTATCGTAGAAAGATATTGATAGATCTATCATCTTCTTTCCCGTGCCAGTGCCACACGGCGTATGAGTGATACTCCAAAATCGTTTTCTTTTCCAAAAAAAAAAAAAAAACTGAGTTTTTGGAGCAAGTCAGCTGAAGTTTTTGCTTTGGTTCAATTTGGGGATTGGGGTGTCGCTTGTTACCTGTTAAATTTATGGCAGGAGCTGTCAATATGTGCCTGTGTGTGTGTGTGTCCCGCTTTTTCCCCATTTTCCTACAGTCTGCCCCAAATATCAGAAACACCCCACACCCCTTGCTTGCTTGCTTATTTTCCAACCATTCTTTCACTTGCTCCCTAACGTTATTTTTTTCCTTCTGTTTTTGTGCTTTTCGTTTTTGTTCTTTGCCTTGAATTATGACAGAGCAGGGAAAAGGACATGCAAAAAGGGGTGAGGTGGGCTGTGAAAAGGGGCGTGGCGGTGCGGGGCGGGCAGTGGGAAGTTATGGTCTACACATGTTGCTGTCTAATGTTGTTGTTTATGTGCCATTGTGTCGTTGTTGCCTGAATGTGTAAGTAAGAAAATTGTTTTTGAAATGGCTAACAAGCTATTAGCAAACAAACAAAGGCAAAATGATGATGATGAGAGGGGTTTGCTCTGTTGGCGTTTTGAGGGAGTGAGCCTTTCGGCTTAGAGGTTTTGCCTTCTTCTCCTTTCTTCTCTTCTTTTTTTTTTGTGGGCGGCAAGTGACATTTAAGCGATTCATGCTCCTGTTTCTGTTTCTGCACTTGTTCTCCATCAATCAGAGATTGTTTTTGTGTGCCATATGATCGAAGCGATGATTTATGAAGGAACTATCGAACGCAAGGCAAAATAAATTCAAGCCAAACAAAAGAAAAGAAAAGTGCCTCTGGGCAGAACAAACAATTGTGTGCGTATGATCTCATAAATCAAAAAATTTCTCGGCTCTTAACAGTAGGCAATTCAATTTTTTTAAATACATCAAGACAATATTGTTTTGTCTGAAAATTGAAAAAAAAAAAATATTGAAATAAAAATATATAGTATACGATTTTACAAAACTCATTTTTGAGAGTTTTATTTTTTACTATAGCCATAAGGATTTATGTTTTTGTAACATTTTCTTGTCACATGTATTCACATGTGGCTATAATAGCCAGTAAAAATCAATTAGAGCTTGACCTGGACACCCTTAACTCCTTTGTTTTACGTATAACAATTTCGGCAATAAAAACAAAAAGTAAATGTTGTTTTGTGAATCTGACCCTTGAACCTCTTGACCCCTTTTTCACATAACCATGTTCCAAATATTGCCCCCAATTTTGGATCCCCTTTTCCCCGTTCTGACCAATGTCGACAATTTTCCCTTAAGAGGGGGGCGGCAATAGGAGAAGAGTGGGCGTGGCAGCCAAATAAGTGACAACCCAAATTATTTTGACACCATTACCAATAACGCTCACACTGCGAGAAACAACGATAGAATGGGTGTGGATGGAACAACAGTCGCACCCAATGAGCGAACGCACACACAAAACTCAAGTGTGGGCTGTAGAGAGGCTATATAGGCACAGTGCTGCCAGTTTAGCGTATTTCTGGCTTGATCCGGCGTATTTAATTAATGCTTATTTAATTTGTTGAATGCCAAAAATGGTGCTATGTGTATTGAATAAAATTAAAATTATGTTATTGCTTAAAATGTACATAATTTTGGAATTACCTACCTACTACCTTTATTTAATAAACTATTGGTTCTTGTATGTGTTCTTCCATTTGGATATAGCTTGTATTTTGATAGCTGTACTACAAACTACTATATTAGTAGTAATATGGTATAAATTATTATTATTGATTATTTAAGAGAGTAGACAGTAAAATGAAACTTCAAAATAAATTAACAGTTAGACCCATTTTTGCCTATTTATGTTCAGAATCTAGCCTATGTGGGAGCTAAACTCCTGGCACCACTGTCTATATAGGCAGGGCCCAGACATTCAGACATCCAGACATAGCCACATATTGTGCCATGTTTTGTTGCAGGTCGAAGAGACACTGGGAAAGCGGGGAAGTCGGGAAAATATGAAGACAGACGGAGAGGCACGCTCTGGGAAGTTGTACAGGAAGGGAGGGGAGTCCAACTGCCTGTCTGCTTGTCTGTCTGTCTGTCCCCTTTCCATTTACTCCCCCGTCTGGACTACACTACGTGTGAAAAAATGCGGGAGGAAAGCAAGGGGAAAAGTCGAGGAAAACTAGGGGAGACAGCGGCAGCAGTAGTAGCAGCAGCACAGGAGCTCATTCGTGAGCTCTGCTGCAAATTGCCAGTTAAAATTTCGCTGACATTTCAGCAAACGTCAAACGCACCATGGGAATGGAACCTGGGACCTGGGTCCTCTGAATGAGAGGGAGGAAAAGAGATGGCAGGATGAGAGGCGAAAGAGACAGCACGAGACACACTCGATGGGGACAAGTGTCAAGTGGAGTTTTACGAGATTTGTTTCGCTTTTGTTTAGCCTTGTTCAACGGGTGTCGCCATCGATGAGTGTTAAAGTTATGAGTCGCAACCATTGTGTTATCGATCGATTGCCTATCGATAAGACGAAAACAAGACTATCGAGGGGAAATTTAATTAAGCTAGTTCCTATTGTAGTTCATTTATATCGATAAGAAAATGATTACCAAACAAATTCCGATTACAGACTGACTTTGAATTCCCTGATTTAAAGCTGTTTGAAAGGAATTCTATAAATTGCTTCAACTGCCATAAAAAAAATAACTTAAGCGACTAATTGGTAGATTTCCGAACAAGCAAACGACAGCATTCTATCTATTCCGACCATCAGAAAATAAAATCTAATTGCCTAATGAAAAATATTTATATTTCTAATATGCCTCTGCCCGGCACTAATTAAATAAAAATCTGTGAAAAATAGCAGGCGAAATATTTTGAAAACTGAGTCACAAATTGCCATCAAGCCCAACCAGTGGACATTTCGAAATTTAATTGGAGGGAATATTTTGCTATTTATAGTTTATAAAGTGAGCACGACGATATGCGACAAATTGGGAGGTTGGTTGGTTTGAATGCGAGGCGCAAGTCGATTTGAACCAGGGCCAAGAAGCGACCTTCGGTTGCCAAACGATGGGTAAATATTTACTCACAGCCCCTGCTTTGCTTGATCGAAGCCAAATTGAAAACCAAACATTGAAATCCCCACGTTCACTCATTCATTCATTCAGTCATTCATTCAGACAGTCAGTCAGTCGCTCAGTCGGTCGGGCATTCAGACATTGAAACATTTAGTCAATGAGTCAAGGGCAGCGTTTAATAAACTTTGAGCGTGTCGAACGTAAAACATAAAACAAAACTGCATTGCAGTGTGGGTGAAGAAAATAATAATGATTTCTGTGCGAAGATAATAATAACGATGGTTATATGGAGAATGGTAAACAGAGTGTTACCTCTTGCCAGAAAAAAAAAGAAGCAGATTTTCAAGTATGCGCAGGGAAACAGCGCGTTGAAAACGGAAAACTAAAGTAAAGTGTGATAAAATGTTATTGAAATGTCAGTTCAATGAGTTTTGGTGAGATGATGGCCTCAAATCGCGTAGAACTGACAAAGTGATCACTTGACTTTGGTCGCTTGCTCCGGTTATGACAGATTTATGGGACACTGCCAATGAGTTGTGGGCATTTAGCATTTAGCTGCACTCGCAATATACATTTTTTTTGTGCAAATACCCGAAACGAAGGGTAGAAACCTGCCATGGAATTGATAATTTTCAGGCCTAAATATTTTGCTTAACAAATATGAATATTTTCAAGTATATTTGATTATTCCTTCCACACAGGCTTCAAAATTCAGATAAACACGAAAAACCTGCTAATTTCCATGTAATACATTGTTAAATCGAATAGTTTTCTAGTCTTTGTTCAGATCAACCTTCCGACTGTCCAACTGTCAAGTCCCCAGCTAATTATCCTCAATCACGAGAGGGTGAAAATCTCGGAAAATCTGGAAAATTCCACGTCAACATGGAACATGTCTCCGATTCCGATTCCAATTGCCAATTGTCAACCCTCGTCTTGGCTGATTTTTTTTTTTGTCCGTATCTCAGCTCAGCTTGCCTTCTGTTTTCCGCTTTTCCCAATTTCCCCTTTTCGAAGTGGAGTGGCGTGGAGTGCCTTTGTTTTTATTGTCGCCTCACAATTGATATATTGATAAATGATGTTGCCGACACTCGGCACTCGACGTCCGACACCCGACGCTAATTTTGTGTGACAAACAGTTACATGTCAATCCTCCTGTTACCTCCTTGCGACCATAGATCCATAGATCCTTGAGCAGAGCTCCCTGGCGAGTCCTTGGTCCTTGAACGACATGGGGAGTGCCCGGAGTGTGGGGTGTTTCGGTTTATTATGTGGTAGCAAAACAGTATGCCATAATAAATAGTTAAAAGTTTAAAAATTAAAATGCTTAAAATATTTGAATGAAACATTCATATTTCAAAATATAAACATACTTAAAAGAGACTTAAAACATGGTTATATAATTAAAAACTTTTTTCAAATTAATTTCCAATAGAAATGTTATAGATAAATTTTGTTTTTAATTTAAAACAAAATTTTTCCATACTTAAAATAAAAATAGAAGTGTATCACACTAAAAACATAAAGCTGGCTTATTTAAAAAGAAAACACGTTTGGATTAGCGATGGAAAAAAAAGAGTATTTATTAATGCCTTTTCCAGGATATTTGCAGGTTCGTCGACTTAAACTCCTATCGTTGAAAGCACATAATGCCTGCTTGACATGCGATATCCTTGCAATAGCAACAGTAGGGGTGGCTAATCTATACCCACTTCCTTCCCCAAATTGATGTTAATTCGTGCGGAATACAAACGGCCAGAGCAATTAAAACACTATTAGGGACACCGAAACCAAAGTTCGCTCCGAAATGATTACTGGGCCTTAGGCATATAACTTAATTTGAGGGCGATGCTGAACTTTGCCCTTCTCAGCGACTGTGGTCGGGGTCGTGATCGAGATCAGGCACGGAGGCAGTCACAGTAGTCCTTTGCAACTGGCCCGTCCGAAAGAGATCCTGCAGAATGGCAAGGTCCTGCATGTGGCGATGCAGTTCAACGGGCACTCCGACTTCATCCAAGTCCGGTGGCACATGTACGTAGCGAGCTAAATAGCGAATGTGTACCCGAATTGACTTGTGCCACGAGGATTGCTCCAAAGGATCGTAAGCAGCTCTCTGGCCTCGTACGGCATTCGAAATCGCTGGCACCAAGGCCAGTTGGTTGCGACCACCGCTCCTATTTGGTTAACAAAACTCGCAATAAACTGCTAAGCCTCCTGATTTACATACCTGCTTAGTATTAAACGCTTTAAAGGTTCCAATGCGACACCCAAGAACAACAGCAGAATGGATAAAACCAGGCAAATTCCAATTAGCGAGATTGCAGACATCTCAACTGGTGTTTGTTTGGCTTGTGACTAGTAAATGTTATGATATTATTGATGGAGGGGAAGTGTGGGGACGAGGACGATGTGTAAACGGAAAATTTCTGACGATCACATCCGGAATTTGGAAAAATGTTTGATGTTTGATTTTATATTGTGTGTTTGTGTGTAGTCTTGTCAACGTCAACGTCACCATAAAACAAAATAACACAATGAAATAATTGTTTATTGACTAAGTCACGATCTCAGCAGGTGGTCATCATCTACACTTTGTTCAACTAATTAATAAGCTTTTTTTGGTATCCCCTTTTATATGATAAATTCGTTGGGTATGCTGTTTTACAAGTTATGTAAACTTTTTAACCCTTAAATCTGTACTAACTCCATGAACAGTATCCATGCAATACAATTTTAAGATCACAACTATGTGAGCAGTAGGAAGATAAGTTTAGGGTTGCTTTATAGTATTACTTTTAGGACAATAGGAACTCTAAAGAATACATTTTACAAAGAATATAACATTACATTTATAAATATAAAAAGGTATCGTTATATAAACTTAAAAAGTGATCAAGATAATTTATGGCAGCTTATTTGTGCTCTTTTTTTAACTCTTTTATTTTCTAGTTCAAACAATAAAATATTTTCAAAACGAATTGTAAAGAGTAACGCCTAGTTTAAACTCTTTTACCAAAGCTTTGCCTAATTGCTGTGCATAATTTCTGGCGGTCGCTCATCCGCAAAATGTGTTTGGTGATTATGCCAACCTGCGGCTATGGTATCTACTTGCTGACCGATCTGACTGATCATATAATATACATTCAACAATAACGACGATGAGTAGCACATTTGGCCTGGTCGAAAATGAAAATAACGAATATACTAGTATACCATAACCATCCGGAAGTGGGTGGGCAGGTCGATTATTTGATGGTTTTCATGGTTAGTTTGAGCGCTTTCCGCCAGAGTGAACCTTCAGAGGATTACCATAGCGTCGGGCGGAGAACACAGATTACTCAAATTTATTTGTGCTGGGTATTTATATTTATATTCATGCTTATATTTATGGCAGTGTGTGTGTCGGTTATTGAATTTGTCATCCAACTCCCCACGCAGCCCAACTTTTCTGCCGCAGATTATTCATTAATTTCGTATATATTTTGTCAGCTATTTGTTTGTTTGATTTTTTTTGTTTTATCGTTAATTTTTTTTTCCGTCGATTGTTAATTGCGATAGGTCCAGTCAATTATCGAGAGGAGTTGTTGCTGTTCACAATTTCAATTTTAATTCCCTCGATTCGTTTGTTGTTGTCGTGATAAATAGAGAAATAAGTAGAAATAGATAAAGACGAAGATGAAGTTGAAGGGGTTGGGAAAAGCTGACATCATGCGCTAACGAAAAGTTGGCCAAGTCAAGCGATGTCTATATAAGGTCAGAAACTATTCTCAAAGTCATTGGAACAAATGAAAAAATGAAATTTGTTTCAAGAAGAAGTTTTATTTTATTGTTAACTCTTTCACACAACATATATATAGTAATTATATAGTAAAATACTTAAGAAAGTTAAGGTGCAAATAGTATAAAAACTTTAAAACTGATATAAATTCTGAGATCTAAAGTCACATATGTTTAAAATAATATATAAATTTAAAATCTTTAACAATTTTTTAGCAGCTTCAAAATACAGAACATCTTAAAAACAATAGGAAGTGGTAGGCATGAACAAATAATCCGCGACGCTGAAGATGTGGATAAAGAAAAACCATCAAGAAAATACCAAGGAAAAGAACCCAAAAATCCAAGGAGAAAAAGAGAACCTACCAAAAAGCAATCAAACATAATCCGAAGTTAAGAAGCGATCGGAGTTGACCCCAACGGAGCGGAGGCAAAGTACAAATCTCTCAAGCTTAAAAGATACAAAACTTAAAGCGCTTTCAATGCCCCCGCCCCAGGCATCAACCTCAAATCAACTCACAAATCTCAGGCGGCTTTTTTTATTTCGAAGTTTCTTGAACCTTCGCAGGCGGAAGTCGCGGCACTTATGACTCACATATCTGATGGATATCTGGGTAGCTCAGCCTCCAGGTGGTGAGCTTATGTGGTGTAGAGCCATGTGGGAAGACTCAATTGGTCCACAGGGAATGTATGTGCATTTGATAATATAATAAATATTTAATCTTAATAGAATTTAGGATTATAATAGAATACGTTGGTCTAGAAACTTAAATCGATGAAATCCTCCAAAGATGAGAGTTTTTTTGTATTCAGAAAGCAGAACTTAATATAAGTGTAATCTAAGTTTTTAACCTTTAACTGGTTTTTTGATTTCTTTTTTTTATTTTGCATCTTTAGTTCTGCTTAACCAATTAAGCGGTCATCGATAGCTTACTTTTACTAAAAATAGAATGCTCTTTAACTTTTCTAAACATGTTAAAGGAACTAGTTTGATCATATAGATTCCAAAGTTTGAGAGAATTTGAAAATTTCCAAAAATTTGAGAAAGCACCGAAAAAAAATTGTATAACTTTATATTGAAGCTATAATATAAACACAGCCAACACGATATTAAACTAAAAAATTTTTGAGATTTTGGGATTAAAGCAATAGTCTTTGTATGGTTTGACATTAAAATATTCATACATTCTAGCTAAAATTGATATTGATATTAAACCCAAAGATACGAAAAATTTAAATATACATTTCAACGGCAAATATAAAATTTAAACCGAGCTGTTTTGTATCTTTGTAGAAATGTGAAAAGACCCCAAATTAATGGCAAGTTCGGGGAGTGGCATCCTTTTGAAGCAGCTTCTCCCAATTCCCAAAAACGCCCCTTTTCTACACCCACATCTGGGCAGTCCACTTCGCTTAATGAATGCGCCAAGCACGCGTTGGAATGTGAATCCCAATCCAAATCGGCGTCCGAATTGAATGATGTGTCTTGTGTGTATATCTCCAAACTGCCGCCAGCCCTGTCATAAATTCATTTTCGATGGCGCCCACGCCTGAGAAAATTAAAAAGTGGAGGAGTTTTGAGGGGCGAGATGAGATTGAGATGACTGACAATCGCATTTAGATGTCAGAAGAAACTATTTTTAATTTCACACCTCGCTGTGATTTACGAGGGCAGGAAATTATGCTTCCAGACAGAGGGCAAAACTTTGAGCAGCACTGCAAATCTGGAAAATCCGATCCCAAAATGGTTGGGGCTCTACAAAATTAACAGTAATTTCTGTGTTTGGGTGGGAATTGTCTTGAATCATTTAAAGAACTTTCCCCTCGATAATGAAAAAATACGAAATAAGATTAAAATAACCAAATCATATTTGAATTCCAATAGGTTTGCCCATTGAGTTGATGAGCTGAAGATTTGTGACCGAAATCCTTATGACAAAACCAAATAACGAAAAACATTTTCTTTTATGTACATATACTTCAATTAACTTAATTATTAATTATAGTAAAATAAATAATATGGTGTTTTAAATTGTCGTAATTCAAAATGTAATATAAGAAATTTGACAACTTTGAAACGTTGTAATTGATTAAAAGCTTTGAAAAGATTTGTAATCTTGAGACCTTAAAGAAACTTAAGAATTCGCTGTTCAGGAATAATTAATATAATATGTTAGGTTACTTAAAAATTAATAAAACAATCCTTTCTTAATTTTCGTATAACAAATTTATTTCAAAAATGCAAAAAAAGGCAGCGATCGTGCAATTCATATTCTGTTAAACACTGTTCACGCTGCTCACATGCGCGGCAGTTTCCTATTTTCTTGCCAATTAAATTTCTTTGACCCATTTCCCGGAGCAACTCAACTCGGTGGAAAGGCGGAAAAGTGTAAATGGCTTATGGTGGATGGTTGGGGAGGAGTAAAGTTATGTGTGCCACTGGAGCCGCCTTTGCAAACTCAAACAAAACATCCTCTCTCGTTGGCTGCCGCTGTTTCCTGTTGTCCTGTGTTGTCTGCAAATGAAAATATAAAAATGGAATTAAGCACACAAGCATCAAAAAGAATGAAATAAGTAAAGTGGGGGTATATATTTAATTTTTGGCGCACTTAAAGATGGAAAAATGGGCAAAAGAGTCGGAACATCCAAACAAAAAGTTAAAGTATCCTAAAAGTGAAATGGACCAAGGGAATATGTTTTGGATATAGTGTTCGTCTTGCACCCTTACTAGAATTCACATTCCAAATCTCCAAAGTAAAGTCAACTGCAATGTGGCGTTTATATTGTTACATTTCTGGCTAAATTATTCAGCAATGTTTGTAAGCTTTTAAAATTAATAAGCCCTGCTTTTGGGCTTAACTTTGCTGACGATCTGAGAATCTTCTCTCTTGGCGATAGAGCTTCGTTTTTTTTTCAGTTGACCGAGTTACCTCTGTGGCTGTTGAGAAGTTATGGAAAAATACTTATATAAATATTAAATAATTAACAATAAAATAAGTCGTATTGGTAAGTTTAAGTTTAATGCTGATTTAATCCAAAAATTTAATTTTCAAAAACTGAAAGTGATACTTTTCTTAAGTAAGTTTTGTCCTACCATGTTTCAAATGGTGTTTTATTAATTGTGCTAACTGATCCGTAGTCTGTGAATATTACGATTAATCTGTCTCATATGGCGCCCAAATCGGAGGAGAATAAGCCCATAAGCATATGGCATATGGTTTGGTGGTGGTGCTGCTGCTGTTGCTGCCCTTGCTGATTTTTCGTGCCGACAGGACCTTAATCATCATCTCGCTAGCCATCTCTTTCCGCCCCTCACTCGTCTGCTTCTCGCGCTGTCTCTTTCTGTCTGTCAGTCAGTCAGCGAATGTGTTTTGAATTATAGCGCTGTAAATTCAAAAAGGATGATAATGCTCCCCCTGCGCACAGCTCAAGTGAAAAAGATGGGAAAACAAAGGGATATTGTGACAAGGATTTATTAGTGTGAAGGGTGGGGTGCAGTAGCAGCAGTAGCAGGACCATTGTCCATTGTCTTTTCTTTCCTGGGGTGGATGTGGATTATGAAGCAGGAAGCAGAGAAAAGGGAATGAGAAGGTCGTGTCAAAGTGCAATTATTGCTCATTGCAACAAGGCCTGCCCTGCCCTCATGGCATTTGTCACTTGGCATTCAATCTGCTTTTTCTCAAGGGCCACCTTAAAGTTTCTCAGCCGGGAAATCGGATCTTGGCAGCCAATTAGGCGGGTGTTAGGTTACCTACCTTTTTCATCGAAACCCCTTTATTACCACCTACTACCTACCCAAATAAGGGCGAGAAAGGAGCAAACTTCGAGCAATTTGCTTAATGGCTTTGGTTATAAGCAGGCAGGACATGGCTGGCTACTAGTGCTAGGAACGACGATCTTTTTAGCCGAGAATAATGGGCCAAATCTGCTGCTGCTGCTGCGAAAAGTTTTATTGCAATTGCCAAATTAATTTGCCTGCCAGAAGTTTGCACAAGCGAAAGAAAAGGAGAGCTAAAAACACAGCACAGAAGCGAAGCCACACAAATGTGCGTTCATTAATTTAATTTTTCATTAAAGAAAAGCAAACGCCGCCGCAGGGGCCAAATGAAAAATGTCATAAAACCGTCTCTTAAATATAAAAAAAAAAGTAGGCAGCAGCGAAAAAATGTATTTTTGACCATAAACAAAAGGTTCGTCGCACGAACAGCATTCAAATTATTCGAAGCGGAAAAAAGGGAAAAGGTGGGCAAATGACGGAGAGGTAACACCTTTTATTTTAATATTTCGGTCATTAAAAAACGTTTCACAGCAGCCGGCGACTTGAGTGTTTTCGGTTTCAAGTCCGTATTTGATTTCGAGCATTATACCATGATGACCAAACAAAAGCAAATCTCTATGCAGACCCAATGAAACAAATCGTTGCACCCAATTTCAACAAAAAGCAATAACCTTTAACGCTGTCGAAAAGAAATTAAAGAAAAGCTTCAAATTCAAATAAAAAATAAATGTTGGGAAGAAAATTATTAAAAAGCTAGTCGAATGTGGGAGTACCCTGCAATATTTTAAACTTTAAGATTTTCATACAGACATAACTAAAATGCCTAAAGATTAAAATGTAATAATATTTTTATGGTTTGTCAGTTTTATATATTTTAACTATTTTTTACTTTTGTAAACACATTGTGCAACTGAGGAGTTTTTTTTTATTGTATTTGACAAACGTTGGATTTTTTTGTTACTTGCACTTCAATAAACGTGTTTCTTAATGTCTATAATACAACTGAAATCAAAACTTCATTGATTGCATATTGATTGCATATATCCTTTTCTAAGGATTACATTTTTCTCCTACGGAATTACCTTAAAGGACTTAACATAAATGCTCCTCTCCATCAAAACCATTCCAACCAAAATGAGAACCAAAAAAGTAGCGCCAAACAATTAGGTCTAAACGCTTTTATAACACCGTATCGAAACAGGGGTCCAAAATAAAAAAAAAGTCAAGTCAAGATTGGGCAAGACCTTCAGATTAATGGTAGAGTGCAATTTTTACGATTGTTGGCCAAGTTTTGTTCGAATAAAGTTACGCCGCCCAATGAGTTTTCTTCACGTGCTGCTTTTCCCGCTTTTTCGCGCATTTCCAGAGTTTTCGCCCCGCGGACATTCCATTCGTTTCTCTTTCACGAAATTTATGAAATTTCACCTTTCGGCCAAGCAATTTGCTCCATCTACATTCTTTATTAGCCGCCGCAGTTTACCAAAAGTTTTTCCGAGGGGGCAGGACTGAAAAATTGTTTGAAAAGAATTTGGGCAAGGATCACGAAAAACACGAACGGAAACGGAACAAAGTTTACCATTCTTGTTTAGCTCTGTTTGGTGTGGTTAAAAAAAACGGAGATCCAAAAATAAAAACATGCATATAAACTTTGTCAATCTCTGAGAAACATTACTATTGCGAAACGAATATTTACCTATGCAGCCTTGAGAACAAAAAAGTATAAAAAATAGTATAAAAATGAAGAAATCCATTAGATTTATCCTCGCTAAAGATAAAATAAACTATTCAATTAAACAAGTACATATTTAAATTAACAAAAAGAGATATTTCATTTAAGAAACGTAAAAAAAACGATAATATAATAAATTGATAAACATAAAAAATGTACTTAATAATTTATAAAAAAAACAACAAAAAAAAGAGAAATTACAAAAGGACAATCAAGTAATTTAATGAAAGTGGATAAAACCCACATTTGCTGCTATCAAATCTTGATGTGCGTGTTTTACCTTGCCAATTTGGTTGACATTTTTGGAACAAAATTGCAAGGCAATATCATTTTAAACCCATTTTTTCCACCAACCTTCACATTTTGCAAAGACAGGGGAATTTAATAAATTCATCATCTTTCATTTAGTCTGCTACACTGCCCGAAAAAAGGACCAGGATCTTTCGTGAAGAATGGAAATCATAAAAAACCAGACAACGTAACCAGGAGGAGTTACAACAAGTAGAAATACAAAAAACGGGAAAAAAAGAAAATCGTGACTGTCATTTCAACGAAGCGAAGTTATTTTTCATGACAAAGCAGCCGAAGAGGAAAAACTCCTCCGACTCATTTTCCGACATTCGAAGTGGGAGGAAAAGAAGGCATTCCAGCGTTAAAATACCTTTTACTGGAACATTACCCCCCACCACCCACCCCCCATCCGGCTGTATTTTTTGGCCCGCCCCCCAAGTGAAAACCAAAATGCAGTCGACGTCGCTGCGTTTTTCATGAAATTATTACGACTTTGGAAATGGGGTCGTACAAAATGTCGTTACGTTGGCGGAACAAAGTTATATAGCGCCCCTACTACTGCTCTGCTCTGCTGTCCAGAGAGCTCGTTTTAGTTTTATTGTTGAGCATTTTTTTATTGTATCTGCGGAAAATGTTTGGAAATTGGTTAGAGTTGAAAGAGGAACATTAAGCCACAGCAAAGAGTTGTACGAGGAGGGGTGTCTGTGGTGTCTGTAATCATATTACGATTTAAAAAACCAAACTCAGTCACTTGATTAAGGGCCTTTGGAAAAAAACAATAACCCAAAAAGTGTGTAAATGTTTCTTCATTTATGTGTTGCTGCGATCTTGACCAAATTACAAATTAAAAATCTTTGGGCATTTATTACCTTATCAAATACTATTTTTCTTTTTGGCTTCTCTGGCATCATTTAGAGAGAACCTAAATGTGGAGAAAGTAAGGCTCAGATTTGGAAAGATTTCCCACGATTTTGGGGGTCGTCAACCAACTAATGCACTTTATGTTCTCCCATTTATGGTCTTGAAAATAAGTTGACTTTGAAAAAAAGCTTTGTTTAGTGATTTAAAAAAGGTTACAATTTGAAGCTCAATTCATTTTATTGATAAAATTGGCGAGAATTTCCACGAGTTTAATGAGAAAAGCTTATCAAAATTCTTTTGATCCCAAAATATTTTTAAAAAGATAAATATGCTAATAATCTAAGCAAAGCTTTCTTTTAATATTGATTTTGATCTTAGCCTAGATGTGCATTATGGGATGATCAGTTATTTACCATTTCCGGTAGAGAGCTTCTCACGCACCTGCTGCTCAACTGACCCACTTGATCCGATTAAAAAAAAAGAAGAAAAAGAAGAAAAAAAACGTCTGGTCAATATTCTTACCGTCTAGACAGGCGAAGAAAACTGTCACTGTCTTCAGCAGGCTGTCTCTTTCTGTCCGGCACTGTGCCTCTCTTTCTGATGCCAGATCTTTGTCACACACACGCGTTAAGATCGCATTAAAAGGCCATAAAAAAGCAGCGACGACGCATTACTTTTATTTTTACGTCGGCGGCAGTCTTCGTATGTGGAGTATCTACTATATATAGAGCTATGACATTTTCGCTGCGACTCTCCTTTTATTTTTTTTGGCTGCTTTCTCGCATCATCATCATCATCATCATCAACGTCTCGTCGTCTCGTGATGAAGGCCATCAAAAATCTAATAAGCGTGATATAATTGACATTTAAGCAAAGCGCACGCACATAGACAATGGACTTGGTTTTGGGTTTTGGTTTTGAAGTTTGAGTTGTTGTGTTTTGAGTTGGCCTGTGGACCACAGAACGAACCGTAGTCTCCCCCCATTTATATATATATACTCCCCCGATTTTGTAGGCCAAGTGGTTGACTGAGAATCATGACAGATGACCGCACGTACATTTCACGTTTCCACGTTTCACGAGCGTCGGAACCGCGACCAAGATACTTACACATTGTCCAGAAAAAAAGATCGTTCTCCGTTTCTGGGTCATGAACCAAAAAAAAAAAAAAGAAACAACACAAATGTAAAATAATGAGTTTTATTCTCTGGTAAAGATGCTCATTCGCATTCTTGCCAACACTCATTCTTTTTGGCACCTGTTTTTAGTTAGAAGTAGAAAAAGGGCGACGTGATGGGCATGCAGATCAACTATTAGGTAATGATAGCGCTGGGTTGGGTGGCGGTAAATCAGGTTTTAAGTTGAACATTACTAGTGCATACGAAATAGAGCAATGTTCTCTAAGCTCTTTACTTACAATCCACTTGAAAATTTCTTTTTTACAAACCATATGCACATTATTTCACTATGAAAAGGTTGAAATACCTCTTTCAACTTGAAGAAGACACTCACTTCTTGCATCTATATATATCAATATCCATTGCTGCCAACATACCAACAACTAACTCTTAAACCTTTAATTCTTCCTTTTTTGCAGATAAAACGGGAGTTGCAGCCTGGGCCATATATATCCAATGTCCACAATTTAAATGGTGAGTGCAAAATAGAGTGTAAAATGCATTTATAAAAGGCAAGGCCCAACATCCCCCTTAAACTAAATTGCTTTCCAGCTCAGTTGGGTGTGGATATATTGGAGGCTGGAGGGATGGATGGATGGATGGATGGATGGGTTGGGGCAGAGGCTGTAGTGCTAGGCAGAGCGCAGGCCTTACCTATAAACCAAAATGAATGTCTGCAACTCGACCACCGCCCGCTGAGCTCAAAAAGTGGGGAAAAAGTGGGGAAAAGGGTGGGAAAAGCAGGGGGCTTCAGAACAGTAGGGAAGTAAATGCAAATAGATGCCTCGCTTTTATAGACAGATGGACTGGTAAGCCCATGCAAAAAACAGCACACTGCCTGCAACGTCATCGGGGGGTTAAAAAAAAAAAAGAGTGAAAGACCACCACATCAGCGTCATTATAATCATCATCAAGATCAAGATAAAGCAACCTTTTTTATACCTTCGTTGCAGAGGGTATATTAAAACTAGTCTTTCAGGTTTGAGGCTTTTGGAACATAACAACAATAATTGAAATTTGTGCACTTAATCGATAGTTAATTGAAAATCGATTTCAACTTCATAATAAACATAAACACTTAAAAATTTATATTAAGTTTTTTTATAGAACGTTTCATTTGTTTTATAGCTGTTAGAGTATATAAACTTCGTCTTTCTTGTTTTATTAGAATCGAACGGTGGCGATGACAAGTACAATGTGGCACTTTGTATGAAGTGCAGATGGGGCAGTTCTGATTGGGGTCACTTATATGAAAAGGGGTAGTAATTGATTACTAATATAGGGCTGCTAGATTGATTTTAAATATTTAAAATAAATAACAAGGATATTTTCGATCTAAGGACGTAATTACATTTAAATCATAACGCTCGATATTATGTAAGTTCTTATATTTGCTATGTTTGATATACCTAATTAGGAAGTAAAGAAATTAGCTCCTGAAAACATGACTTCTGATTATAAGGCCTCCCCCGCAGCTTTTCCCTCCTGAATTTTCCCTGGTCTCCTGCCATCACCATTACGCTGACCAAATATTGTCACAAGCTGTCGGCGGAATCCTCGTCGAGGGAGAGACATTGTGCAAAGCCAACTGTGCAATTATTTGCCCAACTAATAATTCACTTTAGTGTCTCATTCAGGGCAAATATTGGAGGAGTCTCTATCAAAGAGAGATAGAGAGAGATACAGACAGAGACACAGACAGAGACAGAGAAGGGAACGTAAGACATTTCCGATTGTCATTAGCGCAAAGAATGCGAATGCAATCCTCGGATATTTGGTAACCAACCAACCCACAAGATTCGCATCTCGAATTCCAATCATGTTTGGCCTTTTGATGGGAACCCTCCAAGTTCCCCGCGAAAATGTCAACAAAACTCTTGCTTGTTAACTCTAAGCTGCTTGCCTATTTATTTACTAGGTTTTTTTCTATACTGCTTTATTGCTGTGTTTTTCTGTGATTTTCTGTACTTTTAATTTGGCTGCCAAATGGCCTTGAATCTAAACAGGCGATTGATTCCCACAATGAGTTGAGCAAATTGTTTGCATTGAATACGGCGCGGCCTTTGTTTGGCTTGGCCAGTTGAGCTAATTGCTGTCAAATTGTTGGTTGGATTGGTTTTCGGTTCAAAAAGAAGGAATCTTTTTTTGCAAACGCCCCTGATCAAAAACTCGTAAAATGATTTTTTAATATCTTAATATTAAACGTGAGCGCTAGGCTAATAATTCTTAATAAATAAATAAATAATTCAATCAAAAATAAAAATAAATAAATAAAAGAAAAAAAATCTATATACACGCCTTTATAGCCATGCAAACCATTTCAATATAAATAATTTTTTCCAATATTTAAGGCTTGCGCACAACTTAAATAAAATAAAACTTGGAAATTGATACTAATATATAATGTATAACATGGTATATATAAAATTAGCAGATATATAAAACCGAAACTCTGGAAATGTTTTTCTTTGCGTTGACAAATCTCATTTCGATGGCCGCCTTAAAAATTGTTGACTGGAAAGTCGCCCGGCCGGCGTCATTCACCTTCGAATTAAAAACATGTTGCGTTTAGTGAAGCGGAAAAACCAGTAATTAAGTGTCTCGTCAACTTTTAGCTTTTCCCTGCTGCCGCCCCCAAAAACAAAATTCAGCCGACCCAGAGCGGACAATTTGTAGTTGAAACTTTTATTTTCATTTCCATTTTCGTTTTCTTCCATTGTTGACATGAAAAGATGGCTACGGTTGGTTGGTTGAACAACTCACCATGTTGCAAGTTGCTTATCATTTCGCTTCGATTTGATTTGATTTGATACGTTTCATTGACACGACAACGTCACAATTACATGCACTCTGCATTAGAGGTAATTTCTTACAATTTCATGCTGCAATTGGGCAAACAGACAACAGCAAAAAGTTTCGGCACGACGGAGTAATATGTTTACAATCAGCTGAAATTGATATGGAAACTAGGAATTGAGGCGTGAAATGAAATTTAAAATTATGAGAAAATTGTGATGACATACTCATTTGGCAGCAGAAATAAATGAAATTTAAAGTTTTCATGAAAGTACTTCGTAATCGAAATAATGTTATTAGGAGGTGAAGCCAAGAAGGTTAATTCTTGCTTAGCATGTTGAGATTATAAGAGGATGATTGAAGTCAAATTGCCTTGAAATCGAATCAAAGAGCATATTTACAAGGCTTTTTTATACCAAAAATAATAATAAGCCGAGAACCAGTAGAATTAAAAAACTAAATATTTTTACGTTTCAATACCAAAAGCAATAATTCGCTATTGCGATCTCTTTTCCTGCTCCCTCTGCTCTCTCACTCGCACCCATTCGCATTTGCCTGCCTTGTCTTAAGTGAAGCAAAAACAAATTGGTCTCTGAAACCCGATGACAACCAAACCAAGTTGCATTGCTTCCGCCGTATTTTGATGTCATTGTCGCGTCGCCAGAGTCTCCGTCTTTCCCCCTCATTCCTCCCTTGTTCAGCCCTTACTTTCCCCTTCGAATTGTAACTGCTAACTGGGTGCAGCGACTGGATCAGAAAGGGTTTGCTGCTATAAGCTAATGAATGACATGCTATCCTAATGAATGACAAGCCATCATGCTCTTGCCTTTGGCTGTGCCGATACACTGAAACAATATACTTCTTCTTATTTAACTTGTTTTGGCATTTAACATAATTGGGAGTTGATAAATATGTGCAGCAATAAGAACACTAAAATATTAATTTAAAAATAAATAATATGTTTATCAACTGTTAATTAGAAATGGTAAAAATATCTGTACATTTGTAACAAAAACGTTTAATCTATACAAATCGTATTAGAATTTATTTATTTTATTTATTTATGATAGTTATAGTGCTACAAGTTCAGCACAATTTTTTGTTAACGCACTTGTCAGAAGTATTATAACAGAGGAATATAATTACATTTTCAAAAATCAACATATAATTACAAAAGAAAAAAAAAAGATGGACGAACAAGAATAAATCATTTTTAATTAGGAGTCTAAATTACAATTTGTATAATTATATATACTATTAATTTTTATTTTAATTTTTGTTTTTGTTTAGTATTAAATGCCTCAAAAGCTCAATATTTTTTTTAATTGAATTGGCAATTATAAAAGCCCTTTTCTAGCAGTGTATTTTTGCTACCTTAGCAAACCAAAGGCTTGGCTTAAACAAATGATGAAATACGATATTTGTCCTCGACGTTGCTTGCTCTTCCCATTGTAGCAGTTGTTTTTCTTGTTGCTGTTGCTGCTGTTGTTGCTGCTGGCATGGAAACTCGATCTGGAACTAACGGTTTTCACCTGCATCCCATGCACTCGAAGAAAACAGTAATTGTGGGGAATATCACATTAACAGTTAACCGTCATTTCGTTGCGCAAATGCCAACTTAAACTTGTCAACGTCGGGATGAATATAAAGCACAATAAATTACACATACGCCGCATAAGCCAACAACCGCCAGCCAACTGGGCGGGCGGCCAGCAAAAAGTTGCCTGTAAATGAACAAAAAATAATTAAAAATGCATTTTTCATTAAGGCATTAAAATGCACGGACGGAATGAGTGAACGAGGGGCGAAGTGGCGGGCGGCCATTCATTTATTTCATTTATCTTGGGGTTGCTCGAACTCGAACTCTGTGAATCGCGGACTGCGAACTGCCAACTGGACTGCAGCCCGCCAGTTCATTGATTACAATGCCGACATCGAACCTCGGAGATGGGTAAAACTATTGAGGATGGTTCTGTGACTACTGTGTATTCTATAATCTAAAATCAGATATAGTATATGTACTTTCATGTAATTTTCTTGTAAAGTGTATTCTAAAATCTTTATAAGTGTATGAGAGTTTATTTTTTATTTTTTTAAATCATTTTAGTGCTTTCTGAACCATTGAATTATTATTTACTGTCTCTATTGTTTAAATTTTATTATATATGTTTTCTATGTTTTTTCCAAAAATAAAATCAATTAAAATTTTAATTTAAAAAAAAAATTTGTAATGAGCTTTAAATTCTTTTATAAATTTACCTTACCCTAATTATTTTAATTTTTTAAAGGTTTTATGAAACATTTTTTTATTTTTCAAGCCAAAAAGTTTTTGATTTTAAACTGAATATTTCTTCTTTATTTAGGTTTTTGATTTAAGATTTTTAAATTACACCTTTTTTTTAGTAATAGATTTTAAATACTGTTGAAACCAAGTTCTTTTTTACTTATTTTATTTACGGTTTTGTGCTGCTGTTTTTTTTTTTTAAATTGGATTTTATTAATATTTTCCCGATTAATTTCACAATCACATTACTTCCGTAAGTCCATCGCTAGTCAACCAACGAGATGCCCTGGGAGTTGCGTTTTTGTCATTTTGAAATTATCATTAATGCCTCGAAGGATTGAGGCTGGATAAAGGGGGGTTGGGGCCAAAAGTGGTGGAAAAGGCGGGAGAAGAG